CCCAGAAACGTCCCGAGTCAACCAGAACAAACCAGAACATCAAAATCCAGGCAGAGGACAGAGTCTCTGCAGACACAGTGACATGTATGGAGGCTCATAAGTGATAATTGAGTGGCAGAACTTTTGTTTTAAGTTAATACTCTACGTTTAAGTATTTGAGGGAATTTAAGAATACGATGCAAAATGTGATTTTTAGTTTAATGTTGATCCCCCTTTGTCCCTCACAGGTAATAAACCCAACTCTTAACATCCACTTATATGTGCTACTCTATGTGTTGGCCATGGAAGTGTCTAGTATGTTTATTTGGCTCAGAGAGATCCCATCCCACTCCTGTTACAGTGCTGCACGAAGGTCAGAGACTTTTATTAGCAGGTGGACACACTGATGCTAAGACTGAGTGATGCATGTTTGTCCTGGCTGAGGTCTTTAGCAGTTGATACATAGTTGTAAATAATGCAGATACTGCTCATGCTTAGCTTCCTTTTCCCTCATCAAAGCCTGGTGATTTCTTTTCTCCTCATGTTTTTTTACAAAGCTGGCTTTGTGATAGTTTGGTAAAACACACATTTACACTGTTTGTATAGCCTCAGTCAGGGTTTTAAAAATTGCAGAACTGGCCAGAAAAGGGGATGATACTGTCAGTGACATGAATTTTGTACTGAACATTGCTGCTCTCTTTGTTCAATATGTTAGCATTGTTACATAGAAAACATGCTTCTGAGCTTGTTGCTGCGTTTACCAGCTCCTCTGTAAGATTGTTCTTTCTGTTTTCATTACGCCTTTTTATTAGGATTAATTTCTGGGCTTTTGCCTTTATTTAGATAGGACAGTAAGAGTTGGAAATCACGGAGAGAGAGTGGGGGTTAATCTCGAACTCTGGCCACTGGCCTGGAAGACTACAGCCTCTGTACATAGGGCGCAACCCAAACTGCTAGACCACCAATGCCTCATCAGGTCTGTTTGAAAGGCAAACATCAGTGAAAATAAAAGCAAAACCTTTTAAATGTTTCATTCCTTTTGGGGTTAGTCAACAGTTTAACTAAGATCCTGGGACTGTAGTTGCTCGTTCCCTCTCTGCCGGCCATCGTTTCTGTCCATCTTCAAGCTTCACCACAAAGAAATAATTCAGAAATGTAAAACTGTGACTCAACGTCTGAGAAACCTTTGCGTTGAAGTCAAACATTCCATACTTTCATGTCTGCACACACATCTGTGCTATGTGATGTAACAAAGCTCCGTCTGTCTACCTGTTCCACATGTGTCTTATTCTCACAAAGAGAGACCGAATTGAGATGTCTGTGAGAGATGTGAGGAGGGAGACACATTTCCCATGTCCAAACTCATGAAGAGACTCCTTTGAAAAGGCACCACCCAACAAGCTCTCTGTCTGCACGCTAACGCTGTTAGCTGTGAGCAAAATCAGCGGTCAACAGTGGAATTCCTCGAGTCTGAGACGAGGCGGCGGTCCGAGCTTCAGTCCAGACCTGCTCATGAAGCTTCTCTTGGAGAAAAAAAAAAAAACACCACGTTTTATTCTTAGTCCACAGCAGAAACGTTGACCCCAGCTGGGTTATTTATCCCGCTAAAGGTCAGAAGGCCCTGATCCTGCATCTGTATTTCTGTCGGCCCTCGTTAGACACACATTCCTGTGATTCCACACATGCTTACCTGAGAGCTTTTACTGCTGATCATGCCCCAGGAACATTTTGATACTCTACCCATGGAAAACCTACCTTAGGGAAAAAATAAACTGTGTTCCCTTGTCAGAGAGGTCAAAAGGTCAAGCTCAGTTTCAAAACAGAGTACAGAAACAGAGTCTTCCTGAAGGACACACAGCGGATAAAAGCACTCCAGGTCCAGGTTTTCTGTTGCACTACTTTTTTGCAGCTTGCAGGGGGAAGTTGTTTCTACAGCTGGCTGCGAGAGGAAGACGCTTGTTATATCATATAACAAGTTCTGGATAATGTGCTTTATTTGTGCAGCACTTATCAAAACAGCCACAAAGTGCTTTCAGACCGAACGGCAATAATACAAGACAAATGTGGCGACTCGAGGGGATCAGATGTGGGAGTCATGGTGAAAGAATGCCAACAAAACATCGAACTCCAGCTCTGTGAGCACTATGAAAACAGATCAGTGATGTAAATGTTAGAGCTATGTTCTCCATGTTAGATGTTCCACAGGTTTAATCTCTGGAGAACAGCAGACTGCATGGAGTCGATTTCCAGTGGGGGATTTTTTTTTTACATGTGTCAGAGGAGAAATCTGAGGCCGGGTCAGGACTGATGGTCAGCACAGATTATCTGTGAGGAATCTTTACAGTCTAATCCAAATAATATCAAACATTTCTGATAAGTTTGAGCCGGTATGTCAAGAGCTCAACAAGTCCTGAAGTGTGTAAATAGACAGTTTACAGATAAGTGGCTCTGCTTTTATACACAACAGGGACGTTACAGACGTGACCAAATACTATCACCGTAACACAAAAGGTCTATGTGTCTGTGAACGCTGTACACTATATTTTCAAGCTTTGTGGTGGAATCCAAATCAAAAGCTTTGTGGTCTGCTGTCAAAACAAACACAGCAGACTCAAATGTGTCCGACAGTTGAGCAAACATCTGATTTATTTTGATAACATTACGTCTTATCAAACTCTGATTTATTGGCTTGAAATGACTACATGTGCATGTTTTGGCGTTCTTCAGGAAGTATGAGAGCAAACGGAACAAGACTCCCAAGAAATGTAAAATCAGAGATAGTTTTGTGATTCGTTTCATTGATTTGTTGCTTTTTGCTTCTGATGCAGTGGCTCTAGATCTTAAAGGAGTCACACAAAGAAATCTAAAGGATTGCAACATTAAATAAGACATTAAATATAAGACATACCTCAAAGCCAATTAAGTGGCTCTTCTACGTTCAGCTAGCGCCAAAAATGGACTTTGATTTGCTTTATTTTGTTGAGTATTTGACACTTTCCTATCGCTAAAATAAAGGCAGAAAGAGCACCAAAATGAATCTTAAAAAAAAAAAAAGATGTGCATGGAGAGGAGGGGTGTTTATCCGCACACACACTACATGCTCGTTTAGACACAAACACACACTTTACGATGAGTTGTGCGCTTAATGATACACCTACAGTTGTGTGAATGCTTTACAACCCTCCCCCCCCCCAAAAAAAAAAACCTGCATTAAAAGCACAAACACGACAAATAAACCTGCAGATGTTGTTTCACAGAAGTCGCACACACACAGCATATATTACCAGAGGGCACACTTGAGATGTCGTGGAGCGGACAGAGGGTGGACAGAGAGGGTGTGTGCGCTGGTAAAGGATGAGGTGGGGCGGCCACGATGGGAGGTCCTCACAGACAGCAGAGACTGATGAAGTCTCTGAGGGGGCGCTCAGCGGGACGCTCACCGCCTCCCTCCCCCGTGCTCCATCCTGCCTGCTGTTCATGTTTCTGCCTCTCTCTCTCTCTCCTTTGCCTCACTAGTCCAATCTTTCCGACGTTCTGACTCTGCTCACGCTTGCACTTTAATAAATCTGAGGTGTTTTTCTTCTTTGTCCTGCAACATAAACTGGAGACAGAGGAGTTGTGTGCACACACTGAAGACGCTCTGATCTGCATGTCTTCTTCTTGTTCTTTGAGATTAAGTGTTTAGCACAAACCATCTGTGACTAACTTAAGCCAGCTTCGATAGAAAACGATAAATATTGATATATTGTGCATGCAAAGGAAGGTGGATGTCGCTACTCCCCTCCTCCCCCCTCATCAAACGTTTAATAATTCACTTAACAGCTGCTGTATCGGAGATTCTTCACTGATCCGCTCAGATTTTTCTGCTGCGGCGTCAAAATCTTCAACCCTTCCTCCTAGACAGCTATAAAGAGAAGCTATTAAGACATGAAGGCAACACCAGAGAATGGTATTTTGGGGAAACACCTCATTCAGGAAAATCAGTCAAAATCAGGAAGTGGTCGGAGTCAGGAAGTTTGTTTGAGTAAATGTCATTTGTTGTTGTGGTTTCACAGTGTGGGTGTGTCTCCGTAGATCAAAATGTTTAAGGGATGTATATAAAAAGTGGTTTTAAAGGCCATCTCCACATATGCCACAGTGCTCGTATCTCAACGAGCTTCAACGTTGAATTTTGATGGAAAATTCTGTTGCATCATTTTGACGTCTTGCTCATTTTATGTGAAGAGAATTGATGATTGTTGCTGCTTTTCTCCTAAATCATTTGGCCGAGGTCGATGAAATCTTGTCTTTGCAAAGATTTAATTTCAACACATTTTATTCTTCGTACGGAAATCAAAGATGCGGCGCCTTATTGGCCGTGTGTTGTTAGCAGGAAGGTTCAAAGCGTTTGAGATTTGTAAAGAGAGCACTCTCAAACATCACCCACTGACAAAGAAAGGAGTAAGACTGCGCATGGTCACGTCCTCGGGCTGTGCAGCTGTGACTTGTGCTGTATGTGGTTGAAGCATTTTATACACAGCATGGTGTTCAACACAATAAATATTTCTGTGCACAAATTGTTCTTTACTAAGTTAAGCTCGGGCTGATTGCACCCAATGGAACATTTGTCATGACAACAAGAAAGTTTGCATGATGAAAAGCTCTCCAGCCTATTTCCATAATGTTTAACACTACCCATAATGCATCTTGAGAGCGACCTTTAGCAGACCCTCCATGTCTGCAGATCTTGACACTAGCTTCCTGGTAGTCACTGAGTTACAAAGCAGTAGAAAAGTCTCTTTTAAAGTACAAAATCAAGTTATTATTGGAGCTTTTTGGCCGATAAAAGAAGCTCAGACAACAAAATGATGAATGCATATGTTGAGCAGCTGTGTGCAGACATAGACTTTTAAAACGCTGTAAAAAGGACACAGTGCCTTGTAGTCGTGCATTAAAAAACATCATAAACTTTATGTCACAGAAGATTTGACCGCCTGTTTTTTGCAGTATTGTTAACCTCTCCCTCCTCTCTCCTCCTGCAGGTACGACTACGTTGAGGTGTACAACGGCGGGGACGAGCAGTCACCCATGTTGGGAAAGTTTTGCGGCAAGATCGCACCGTCTCCGATCATCTCCAGCGGCAGCCAGCTCCTCATCAAGTTCGTGTCAGACTACGAGACTCACGGGGCCGGGTTCTCCGTCCGCTACGAGGTCTTCAAGACAGGTGTGTGATCTGTACTGTCATGATGTCACCGCGGTAGCTGTGTGTACAGGACATCAGATTCAGCTCAGAGGCTAGAACAGAATCGTAGCTTTCTACACCCTGCACTGGATGTGATATACTGTCTAATGGACAACAACTGATATAAATTCAATTGGAGCGTCACTGAGTTTACACCGCAGGTTTTTGATCTTTGTCATGTATCACCTCGCTTCACATCGTGATAAATATTGGTTTCTTTTGGATCATTTTACATACTTAAGGAGGCTTTTTGCACAGGACACTTGGAAAACACACTAAAGAGCATATAAAACCAGAAAAAGAAGAATATGGGAATTTAAAGTCCCTCAGGGGTTTACAACAAATAGAGCTTGTTAAAAGCATCCTATGAAATGTGGTATGAAAGCATGTCAGAAAAACTTCATGGCCAGTTTTAGGTTGAGTACATACGTTTAGTTTACCACAGGACACAAACTTAAGGTCCTTTGTACGTTTAACCAATCAACCGCCCCCCCTCTACCGAGGCAGTAATTCATCTCTTTATTCTTTGTCTTATGAATTTCTGAAAGATTTCTGTCTCCGCCAACAGCAACAAAACGTACTAAATTTATTTTTCATCCCAGTTGTATTGCGCTAGACAAATCCATCAGTCTGAGGTCAGGGTGTTTGATTATGAGAGTAAATCATATCAGCTGTGAAGACACCATGACGTACTTGTGTCTCAGTCGTCACTCAAAAAAGGAATACAAGCCTTGACTGGCGCTATAGAGATACCCAATGGAAAATAATTAAATCAGAATCAGAATCGAGGTTTATTGACAAGTACTTTTACACATTTGACTTGGTGTATTGGTGCTAAACAATTAACAAGGAAATAAAGCAAAACTAGCAACAACTTAAATAATACAGTATAAGAAGCTATTACAATATATAAAATGGAGTTTAAAAAATAAAAAGCACAAAAATGAGAAATACTTAACATGACTAAGCAGTTTTTACAGACGTTTATGTCCTTCCTCTGTCAGTTTTACGTCCACATTAACTTTCTTTCAGTCACATGTTCTGAATTGGGTTTTTTTCTTGCACTATAAGACTCGTTTCCAGGATTTCCAGGTAACTGTTATCTTCCATATTTGATCAGCCCAGTTACCAGCATCCTAAAAATAACCTTTTCGGAGAATATAGTTAATAACGGCCAAAGGTTTTCCAAACAGCGCGATCTGAACCTCTTGGTACACTGACCTCAAAGCTGCGCGTTAAATAAACTCAAAGCCCCAGGATTCCTTTGGAGGAACGGTGAGTCCCAGCTGGGGCAGGATGCTCGCAGGATAGACCCTAAATAAACAGGGCCTGTCGAGGAAGGGACCTCCTCGCTCCTGTGTCCTACATTTGTATTTTGCTCTTCCCTCTTGGGTCCACTTGAGCTGCCGCCAAACAGCGGCTCTCCTGTGAACTCGTCAGTTTCCACCAATGGAGACGGGAAGATAAATCAGCTACAAAGGGGAACATGTGTATACGTGAAGTCCCTCGTCCGTTTTTTTTGGTTTTTTTTGTTTGCACCCTTGGGAGCAATAAGCATTCACAGAATCACAGGATCCAAGAATAACAATCCCCATGTGGACCGGCGTTGATAAGTGCTGTGTTGTAACATGAAAAATGGAGAGCGGAGTGCTTCTTCTTCTTTTTTTCACTTAAATGAGGAGTTAAATACGAGCGGGGTCAGAGCTCCTCCAGGCTCTGCACTGCTAAGTTCTCTCCAAACTACAAAGCACGGCCTTACTTCTGATACACCTTTCAATTCTGACTTTATCGAGTTTAATTTCAGAGTGCAAAGAGTGGAGCGGTGACTGATGAACGACAGGATGTTATTAGAAAGCCCGAGTAATAAATCTTTCAAAGTAGGTCAGCTGAGTGTCGGCTCAGAGGAAACATCGGTCCTGAACATTTTCCTAGTGGGAATTTATGAAGATATACTTAAACTGCAACAAGGATGAGATATTTATTTTGGATTCATACATTCAGAGTGACGTTTTTCCTTTAATACAAAGTCTAACTTCTTGTGTTTTTTTAATGAAGTAGACACCTGATCTTGGTGCTGTAATACAGCAGAATAAACAACCAACTTCAAGAGGTAAATATAATTAAAATGATGAGTCCGTTCAGCCTCAATTCTTCCAGTTAAAATTTGTCAAGTACATATCTGAAGCCCTGATGTGGCCACATGGGATTATGTATAAAAAACACACAGAAAAACCGGCTTGATCAGGTTGCTCGAGGCCAAAGAAAGCACGTGTTAAATATACTTGTTAAGTGGAATTACGTAACGCATGTAAGAAGCCCCTGAAGTCTCAAGTAAGAAAAAATAAAAAGCTTCTCACATCTATACTTACGGTTTAAAAATCTTAGCGCGCAGATTTGCACAGTTTAGGAAATGTCCCCAGACTGCCAATTAGAATTTGCATTGATTTGAAAACTTTGCACTTTGCACAAACTGTGCGTACTGATTTGCATTACAATATAGTGTTTACAAACCCTTGGGCATGGATTATAAACCTTGTGCACAGTATAGGAAACCATGTTCACAGTCTGCCAATTTGTGCACACGGATTTGCAAACCTTAGTGTATGAATAACCAGAAAACAGAAGGATTAAAAAAATGATTATTTTTTGTAAATTCACACAGATTCTTCTGTCTCTGTCTTTCTCATGTTTGTCTTTTAACTGTCCTTCTTTGCATTTCAGTGTTTATATCGGGCTTCCTTTGCTGCACACACAGAACTCCCACACATGCACACACATGCACACTTACACATGCTGACAGGTGCATGGGACCCCAGGCTCATTTAGCTAATGTGCTGTTTGTCCTTGGTGGCAACAGGGGTGACCTGCAGATGAGATGGATGCTTTGGCATACAAGAGGGGTGTTGAAACTAGGGCAGCATGTGTGCATGTGTATGTGTGTGAGTGTGTGTGTTGGCCTAAATATGGGTCCTCCACCCTCTAACAAGTTAAAAACAGCTCTTGTACTCACTCAGGTAATCCCCTGCCATGTTGCTGCCTTTCCTCCTCACCACATTTAAAAGCCATTACAGTCAGAGCTGCAGATTGAAGCTGCTGCTAAATGGAGCCGCTGTTCTGTTCCAAACAGGCTCTTCACTCTATTGAGACACCCCCCCCCCACGCTTCGTCTCTCTGGTACTATTTATCTCTCTGTGACTGTTTTAGATCTGATCTCAGGGCAATATTATGAGATTTACTCACCAATTTAAAGACACCAGCCCCATGTACTGTTTATGCAGTTTTAAGTATGTTTGTACTTTTAATAAACATTAAACACACATTATAAGCCAGAAGTGATGGAGAGGCTTTTAAAGAAAGAATCACAGGCTTACAGTCATTTGTTGCAGTTCAGATTCAGATTCAGATTCTTTATTGTCCCACAAGGGGAAATTTGCAATGCAGCAGGATCACACAGAAGACAAGAAACCCAAGGACAACATCACCATGAAACATAAACCAAAACTAAATTAAAAAATCAGACAACACAACAAAATGTAAACCCAAATAAAACATCGTAATAAAACCAAAATGGGAATTCCTACCAGCTCATTAAAGTGCAAAGAGGACGTGTGCAATTCAAGTGGAAAAAAGAGCAACAAATGGCTAATTGTTGTTTAACATATTAATTGCACTTGATACAAATGAGACCTGGAGTCTTTTAGTCTTCCTCACAGGAGCTCTAAAACGACGACCTGAGGGTAGCAGGTCAAACTCACTGTGGAGAGTGATCTGAGATATCAAGTATGGCCTTAGCTTCTCTCAGCACCTGCTGGTTATACGCATTCAAAAACCCAACTTGACACCTCCCTGGACGTTCAGGACTTTTGATGGATTTCTTGTAAATTTTTAGTTTTTTGGTTGAATTAATTTATTTCAAGTTGCTTTGGATAAAAGTATTAGCCAGAAAAGTTTGATATTAAACAATGTAATTTTACAATATAAAAAATGGTGTCTCAAAAAACCTTATAGCATCGTATTTGACGTATTGTGTCATGTTGTTTCTTATCATATCCTATTGTATTGTCTGGTATGGTAACATACCATACCACACCATATTGTACCTTAATATATATTATGAGGTGATATTAATATGATAATGTTTGGTATGGTATTGTACCATATGATGCACAAAGACTTGCAACACTATGGCTCCCAAATATAAACTTATTTATTTGCCATACTCATCAAAGAACACAAAGTTTCAAGCCCGACCCGGCTCTTCATCAGGACCTGTACCTGGTTTTATGCGGTATGGTACCAGTCTTGTCTTTTTATCTTTCATGCTTTCTATACCTCCGTCCTTCTCTTCCATGTCTGTCATTATGATGAGAAAACCACTAAAAAGCAGAAACCCTCGTACGGAGATAAAGATAGTCACTGTGGCAGCGGCGGTAAATCTCTGTCTAATGAGCCCTGGTCTGTAAAGCTACGGCACATCCGCCTCTCGTATAACCCATAAACCACGAGCGTAACTCCACCCTCTGCCGACCACAGAATACATATCAGATATAAATGATAGCCGAGCGAGTCCTCTTCAGCGCCCTGGATCTATATTTGCAAAAACTCTCTGGTTTTATTGTAGGGTTGAAAAAACCAGAAACACATGTCTCGGTGGTTTGGCTGATTGAAGGGTCGTTGATAAAAAAGATCAGAGACGGAGAGAAGGATGGACGGACGGGGAATGAGCCAATGAGAGACGAGAGCAATGTACCATGTGGTTTAAGGAGAGTCCTGTTGGTTATATTACACATTTACAAGAATGCTTGAACACACAATATATTCAACCTCGATCAAAAAACCATTCAGGCAGATTTAGCACAGAGTCGTTTTGGATCATTTTGAGGAGCAAATGTGTCTTTTGTAGATATTTAATCGGAGTGAATGTTTGATTCATCATCAGGGAAAAAGTTATTTTACTTCAAGATAAAATCATAGACTGAACAAAAAGTGGACTTGGCAACATGGTGGTGATGCAAACTTAAAAGCGGCAACTTGGTCAGCGTCTGTACTTTACTGTCCACCAAGCCCTTCCAGAGAGGGGGCGTGATCAGACACAGATCATTTACATATTTAAAGGTACAGACACAGAAACAGCCTGTTCGGAGCAGGGCTGAAATAGAGGGGTTTATCGACATGATCAAATACAGGATCGGAGTGGATTTAGAACAAGAAACTTCACTCACATGTTTTGAGGAGCTCTGAGACTTATTTAAACTTATGGAAAAGGAGGAGAATATGTGACCTTTAAAGAGTAAAATCATGTTGAAAATAAGCAGTTTCTCATGCTTTAAATGTTGATGTTTTTAGCTTTTGTTGCTCCTTCCTGCTAGTCTTCAGATCAGGAGGTGCACTTTGTCACTTATCCACAGCATTGTCCCAAAGATCAGCTTTAGCACTCAAATAATAAGATTTGGTGGCACATGAGCTTCAGTTCTCATAGCAAAGACGATAGAAGTTAGATCAGCATTTTAGGAGCTTTCAAGGATTTTTGCCCCGACGATCACATTAATTTTCTGACCTTGATGAATATACAAGACGGGGACGATTGCTCATGAACAGATTTATCTAACCCATCTGCACTTTTGACACACACGCATACCCACACACACACACACACACACACACACACACACACACACACACACACACACACACACCACACACACACACAAAGTGGCAAGTGTTCCAGCTGAGAAGGATCGAAGCCTGCCTCGTCTCCTCCGCATCATTTATCATGTCGCCCTTTTAATGACACCACCTGTGTCAACAGCAAGGCTTCCACTGCAGAGTGTGTGTGTGTGTGTGTGTGTGTGTGTGTGTGTGTGTGTGTGTGTGTGTGTGTGTGTGTGTGTGTGTGTGTGTGTGTGTGTGTGTGTGTGTGTGTGTGTGTGTGTCTTGTGTTTCTGTGTGCATTCATGTTAACAGGCATGCTCAGATAACGTACAGGTCACATCTGGCCTGGCAACATAACAGCCTCGCCCCCAACACACAGAAACACACACACACACAGGCACACACGCACACAGGCACACAGGCACACAGGACCTTTGCCTCCGAGGGATTGTTGACCCTGGTCCGCGCCTCGTGTCGTCTTTGTCCCGCAGAGATCAGTCACTGTCTCGTAAACTCGCTCATGTCACTTTTTTGACAGCGGAGGTGTGAGCTGCCAGTCGCCGTCTGACTGATGCGAGCCGACGCAGAGATTTTTCACCAGCAGTATTGACAGAGTGTGTGTGTGTGTGTGTGTGTGTGTGTGTGTGTGTGTGTGTGTGTGTGACTGGAGAAAACAGCTTGCGTACAAGAAGCGACAGTGACACAACAGCTGCCGTCTACACCCACCGCTCCGTCTCAACTTTTATCAGGAGACATTTCTGCAACGTGTTGCTCCTGCTCGGTGAAATTTCTGTTACTTTCAGAGGTTTTTATTTCATTATCCTACTTCATCCTATAAACTCCCCTCAGCCGCCTGACGGAGTCTCGTCTGAGTTGTAACTTCAGAGTCTCTCTTGCATAATGCTCTCTGCTCCTTTGTAACATCATTAGTAAAGTCCCCGAGAGCCTACACAGTCTCAACAGTAAACTTATCACAACAAGCTGCAAGGTAACCTTGGCACGTACATGTTTCAACAAATGTTGCAAGTAAATGGATAATGCCAGAAATGTATTACTAGCCTACCTGCAACACATCTTTATCTTATAAACAAAGTTTTACAAATACATTAAAAAAAAAAGCATTAAAAAAGCAGACAAGTCCAATCCTAAGGGAGAAAGTGCAGCAGCAAGATTGGCTAAATTTAAAGGGATAGTATGCTATTTTTGAAGAGGGATTGTGTGAGATAGTTGTCAATAGGAAGTGTATTAACTGCTCGATATGTCAGTCAGCTGAGGCAATTATTTGATAAAACAGCAGGAGTGCATGTACAGAATCAAGGCTATTGATTGTCGATGATTGGTACGTTTGGTGCACATAATTTGGCTAAATAAAAATAAATAAAAAAGCTGAAAAACAAGGTCAGGGTTCTTTACTTTTCCGCTAGCAGGACCCTCTGTTTGAAATTTGCTCATTTGTCTGCAAACATTAAGACTTTAGAGTTGTGTTTTTATCCAAATAGTCCAAAAAGAGAGCCACGTTCTTTGGAGATCTTATCATCTTAATCTCCTTTGAAAGCGCATCCTCCCCGTTTGTGCAATAACATCCACTTCATTGAGCCATTTTTGAAAGCAGGGAGGAAGAGGTGGATGATCTCCAGTCGAGCAGGATGAGTTTATTTGCTGTAATCGTTCAGACTAACAAAGCCATTGGCTTTATTACCATTTGACTGACATCCTTTTTAAGAGCATCCAAAAGGTAAGGTGAGGAGACCCCTAGATAAAAACATCAAAAATCTTTGACCAATAATCATACAAAGCTGGATGCAGCCCAAAAAAGGTGTGCCAGATCCTCATCTGCTTGACCTATTCTTTGCCTCATTAGCCCCCCAGGCACATTTTTGTGCCTTTGATGCTACGTTATGTCTCTACCATTGAAAGCCAAAGGACAAGCTTCCAGGAAATGACACCAGAGGGGAACCTGCAGCATCACCTCTTGAAGCAGTGATTTACTAATCCAGCTTCTTTATTGGTAGTCAAAATGCTTTTTAAAATATATAAACTCCTTAAGGAATGAAACACAGCCTGATTTACAATCCATCACAGCAACATCACACTACACTACAGTACAATGGTGAGATGAATATAAAAAAGGCCGAGATGTAAACACAACAGCGCTGAGGGTTTTATCACTAATGAGGTGTTACGTGCAAAACGCATGAATGAAAGTGTGAGAAATGAAACATCATCATCGTCATCGGAGGGTGTAAAAAAAACAGCAGATGTTGTTTGTCAGGGATTTTTTTCTGTGTGAACGAGGAAAGAATTGTTTTTTTATGAGTTACTTTTTTACAGATGAGTGCCTCGTTTTTTTTTTGTTTTTTTTCTGTTCCTAACCAAAGAGCACCTTCGTCACACTTTGAGTCGATCCTCTGAGCACAACATTCCCTCTTTGTTTTCTTCATATCGCTCGGCTTTAAAAACTGGCTTGGGGCAGCTGGTGGCGCAGTGGTTAGTGCAGACGCCTCGTGTACGGAGGCTATGGTCCTCCAAGTGGGCGGCCAAGGTTGAAATCCAACCTGCGGCTCCCACATGTCCATCCCCACTCTCTCTCTCTCCCTGGCTTCCATCTCTATCCACTGTCCTAACTCTCCAGTAAAGGCACAACAGCCCAAAAATAAATCTTAAGAAAAACTGGCTTATAAAGTACCAAACTGAAAAACAATTCAAAACTTTAACGGGTCAAAACACAAGAGGAGAAATACATTTCTTTGAAACAAAAATTGCGAGTCATCTGCAAATTTGAATAGTTAAGCGTGATTAATCAAATTTTAAATTGCATGTTTGAAATTCCATTATTAAACATTAAAAAATAAAATTAGTTATGCTTTTATTTTGAATTTCTGCACTGTCTTAAGCGGAAACTATTCCACTTCCTGTTTGAACCCAACCCTGCTTTTACTTTGGAATAAATCAAGGACCTTCAGGTAGATCGAATTAAATTAACCAGAGAAACAGGAAGTGATTACAGATCATAAACTTTAGTAAACCAGCTGAAAGGAACGGTAACAAAGGTCAATGTGTGATGTCATAAGGTCAATGTGTGATGTCATCAGGTGGATATTACTTTGGACTCGTCAGCTGAGCTGTCTGAGAGTTTGAATGAGTGAAATGAGACATTCAAAGATGCAGCAGTGTCCTTCTTTTACATCACTGAGACTACAGGGAGACACTGAGGACGACTATCTACGGAGAGCCTGAAGGGACAAAATCACATGAGATTAATCATGGTAAAAAAAATAATGCATTAATTTCAGACTTTGATTAATCTTGATTAACTAGTGAATGCTGACAGCTCTAGTTGAAACACAAAAAACTGCCTGAGAGGACAAAGTGAATGTAAAAATCTGCTTCTATATGACCATACACTGAGTGCAGGTGATGATGTCACGGTGGGATATGTATGCAGGGTAGCATGTGTGTGCGTTCACATGTGTCTAATGAGCTAATGGGGTTGTATTTGTTCATCTCTGAGTACATTCTGTGTGTGTGTTTGTTGTTTGTTGACCACCATCGGTCCTTTTGTAAACAGCACTCTCAGTGCGTGCGACAGCCAATAACGTCCCCCCACCCCTCCAGTCACAACACAGACACAGACGGCTCCGGCAGGGGAGGGGACCAATTGGTCTGATTGGAGGGGGGTGACATGTGTTTTAGCCAATAAAACAAAAGGTTATGTTTGGGAAGAAAACACTGTTTTTCATTTAATCTGGATCCAGTGAAGTGTTTTTCTTATTATTTCATGATACTGTCATGTGCTTCTTTTTAGACAAAATGTGTGGGAGGTCACTGCAAAGAAAAAAAAAAAGAGGAATTTCATATCTTGTGATTTTCCTCTGAGTTTCTTTGTTGTTCAGGAGAATATTTGGATTCTTGACTCTTCAAAAAGTTAATCTTTATTCCAGTAAAATCAAAGCTGCCAATGTTTTCGAAGCCCAGAAAGGTCACAAACTGAAAGAATTTCACTTTTCAACATGTCTTTGTTTTGCAGCAGAGAAGACAAAAAAGGTCAAAGGCAAACCAAACAAGCAACAGAGGTTTCTTTCAAAGACATTCAGGCAGATCTAACTTGTATTAATGTGTGCTTGATACACGTTTATTTCCATCCAAACGTCTGAAAACTCTCAGAGCAAAGAGTGCAAAAAGACTTCAATATGTGTCAATAACGTGTTAAACGATGCTACGACCCCTGACCTCTGACAGTTCACACCTCTGCTGAACTCTGTCCAAACACGCTGTGACATTTTGAAAACTCATCCGTATCTTCTCTCCGCATCGCAGGTCCAGAATGTTCCAGGAACTTCACGGCTCCCAGAGGTGTCATAAAGACCCCGGGCTTCCCAGAGAAGTACCCCAACAACCTGGACTGCACCTTCATGATCTTCGCCCCCAAGATGTCTGAGATCGTGGTGGAGTTCGACAGCTTCGACATGGAGCCTGACACCACGCCGCCGCCGGGCGCCCTCTGCCGATACGACTGGCTGGAGATCTGGGATGGATTCCCTGCAGGTGAGGAAAAAAAAAGGGAGGAACTGTTTCTTAAGTATGGATGGATAAAAAACAAGAGATCAGAGCTTATTTCTTATCAAGTCCTAAAGGAAGAATATTGTGAAAAAATCTCTCCATTAGGATCTAACGTTCCCATTTGTCGATGGGTTGCATCCCGGCGGAGCTTTAAAATCTGTTTTTCTTCCAGCAAAAGCAATTTCGAGTAGTTGACTTTATAAGAGTTGCTGATTGCATCTCAAAATATGAGTGCAGAAGATGTTTTTGCAGACTTAGATATTCAGTGGTGATTTAAAGCGAGCATGCAGCTGTAGATGTGCAGGCGAGAGAGGCTGTGTCTGCAGCTGCTTGCATGCACGCAATGCATCCTGGGAAATGTATGCACCGCTGCTATGGCTCCCCAACCACTTAAACTGTGCTATTTCAGTCAGCATACCACACACTGAGAAAGTTATTACTTCTGTTAACTGCTTTAATCATCCACACTAATTGAATTTCTGCACAGAATTCACTCTAACACAGACAAAAATCCAACATTATGACTCTGAAAAAGCATGCAAAATGGTACAAGGACATTTATTCAGATGCATTTTATTACATTTTTTAAACATGGGTCCCTTTCTAAGTAATGAATTCTAGTGCCTGATGTAAAAACAATACAAATCCAGGCTAAACATATATACATAAAGGAATAAGATATGGGTATGTCTGCTTGCAAAATCTTAACTTTTGAAGCATTTCCTGAACTTTATCTTCCTGTTTCACACTTTGAGCGTCTCTATGACAAAGTGTCATGGTTAATAAGCTATAAAAAACGGATGCATTTCCAAGATGGAGCAGTGAGGATTCAAAAGAATGTGAGGGGGGTGCGATGTCAGACAGACGAGAGAAGCAACAGGACTGCCTCTTCACAGGTGGAGGGTGTGTGCAGACAATGGTGATACAGATGTTCGAGGGTAAATATGCAGAGCAGTGAAGCAGCAGGGAGATTAAAAGGAATGAAAGAAATGCTGGAGACGGCCTCTCCCTGCAGAGGTTGACAGAGAACAGACAGGAGACACTGACAGAGACAGGCGGAGGTGAGGGAGAGGAGGAGGAGAACAAAGGATGGATGGTTTCCCCTGCAGGTGGTGGGACCTGCTCGGGTTGAGAGACGGCGACGAAAGCAGAGGTGAAGAATAGGTTGATAAAGACACGAGAGAGAGAGAGAGAGAGAGAGAGAGAGAGAGAGAAGGAAGGAAAGCAAGTAAAGAAGGAAGGGATTTACTTGTTGGGATTTTTAGATTTTCAGTTTTTTTTGTGGAATTATCTTCTACAGCAGGATGTTTTTTTTTGGTGCACTTTCATGTATTTTTTCAGGAATATTTCAAAACGTCATTTTGCAGTATTCCTTCTTTTCGGAGTTAAATTTTGCAGCACTCATCTCTTATGAAAGGATCTACTTGCTAATTTAGGAATTTGGGACACTTCCAGCCCGCACAAAGACGCAAAACTATTATTTTATCTGTTGTGCAATGAGCATCCTAATTTAATTCTAATATGTTACTTTGACAGCTAGCGTTAAAAAAAACAGTACTGCAGTCCAAATTCAAAACATTGTGGAGAGCTGTCTCCCCAGCCCCCTCCTCCTCTCTAGAGTCGATGCTCACACAGGTCACCATGTGGTGGACTCTGAAGCTTCAGTGTTTATCCAGCTCTGCATGGGTCTGTAAACCTTTCTGTGTTCTAACCTCTCTCCATTTTTCAAAAGCATCTCCAATATTGATCCTAGTTTGAGCACGTTTCTGAATAAGGTTTCAATAACAAAAGATGATGTTGAGGCTGGCGAACGGGGCGAAACTGACCTGATAAAGACAACATTTTATGTACATATGATGTATCCAAGTCTAATTTACATGATGTTTTTAATCCCAGCAGGACGTACAGCAACAGTACACTTTCTTATGCAGCAGTCATTGACGTAACATCCGGTGTTTCCTTGGCAACGATAAACACGAAAGTATCCAGGATTTCAATTCTTCATCCTGAAGTCGACCTTAAGATTTATTGGATTATTTTATAGAAAACAGAATTTCAGCCTCTTCTATGCATCTTAAAGGCTGGAAACAAAGATTCTGCCAGACCTCTAAAAACTTTATAGAAAGGAGTTTTAGATTGGAGTCAAATAAAGAGTGTTTGAAAAGGCATCTGACAACACAAGACAGGAGATGCTAGACTTGTTTTTATTATGCTCAACAAAACCGTGTTTTACTGACACCTTTCAGCTGATTTTAAACAGAGAAGCATATTCTCCTAAACGGTGCATTTAGCCCGTCTGTCATTGAGACAATCACAGCAGATAGTCATCATTAATCACTCTGCTGTGACTCACTTGTTTTAATTTCATCTTTAAAAAAAAAAAAAAAGAACCTCATCCTCCCGTGCACACACGGAGGCTGGATGTACTGAAAAGACTCCTCCACAGATTGTTCATTGTTCCTCCACTAAAACCATTTCTCTGCATGACGAAGACACATCCTGCCTACCCTCCCCCCCCCACCCCGCTCTGTTCGCTCTGCTCCGTCCCCTCGTTTGGAGTTTGGACAGTGTTTCCACGGCTCCTATTGTTGTCTAATTAGGCGTACAGCGTGCAGATAATTGTGGGGTGAGACATACCTTGGACAGGCCTGAGTGGGCTGCCAGGCTGCCCCACAATGCTCGCTGCAGTTGCCCAAAGCTTCGCCTGGTTACTGCCAGGGGAGGAGACTGGCATGGGAACGAGAGGGAGACTGGCACAGGTATACAGACAGTGACACACACTTTAAAGACGTGCCAGCATACACAACATGCCAGAGCTTCTCCTGTCAAATGATGTGTGTGTGTGTGTGTGTGTGTGTGTGTGTGTGCGCGTGTGCGTGTGTGTGTGTTTGATGCTGTGAAGCCCGTGGTTCTGTGTTTGCAGAACGAACACGTGTGTCAGTGCAGATAACAAAGCATCTCTGCAGCAGGGTGAAGACCAGGATGTAGTTTTTCATCCCCATCAAACGCATCCACACTGTTAACATGAACCCACTCCCATCATGCACTGCTGTTTTTTTTTTTCTTCTTCCTTTCTCCCTTTGAACGCTCTTAATCTGCTCTTCAAAGGAAATAATTGTATTCTGGTGGGATCCAAACACACAAACCTGATGAGTGTTTTCATGCACAGTGTAGAAAAAGAAACCTTGTAGAATCTCATTATTTCATCTGTATTTCACACTCTCACATACTGTTTGTGTATCTCGAAGAAACGCTGCTAATAAATCTCCTTCAGCTGCTTTTTTTCTTTTTTTTCACATCAGATATAACCATGTCCTACATAAATGTAAATGCAACCGCGTTGCTTGAAGGGATTTTCCCATTTTATAGCTGATAGCATCGACATGCAGACCGCCGTATTTCACAGCCCCTCTGATAAGGCTGTAATAATTCAGAATGTAATCCGTCACAGATTAGCCACTACCTGCTTTTTAACTGTAACTGATAAACATAATCCAGCAAAGATTACAAAAGCTCTGCATGCCAATGTGATCGCCTCGTGTTATTTTTCATTTTACCCCTGAAGCTGAAGGGAAAATCACGTTTTTTTGTAGCATGCATGGCTTCACTGTGGACTGTGTGTTCCCTCGGTGAGTCCTGCTGATTCAGTATCGCTCAGGAACAGGAGGCAGCGCAGGCCTGGCATTGTTTCCCCTCCGATATGAGCAGGATGAGATGGGCAGCAAACTGTGGGCAAGCGGAGACGTCGGCGACATGAGACAGTGTGTCATCTGTGTGCTGCGTGTAGGAAAATCATGTTGTTACAGCCGGTGTTAGCACCACTCTGTGCTTCTTATTTTACATTGGAGCGCAGGAACGATAAATCCACATCATGTCATCCACCTAGACGGCCCATTTTAAGACAGTTTTGTTCACATTTCCAAAATCATATTTTTTAAATCTGCGCCATACAAATTGCCCCTAGAGGAATTATAGTTACTATAATTGCTACACATTATTCCCATCATGCAAAAAGTAGCATCACTCAGTGGAAGCTGTGCATTCAAACATACAAGCTTATCATTAAACATGAGTAATAAGGGAAAATTACTTTTTGTTTAAATGCAGAATTTCTTCAAAAACAATATTGTATTCCCCAAAGTAACAGCCAGTCTTTTTCTCTAAATTATTAAGAAATGTAAACTTCAGAGGTTAACGTTTCCTTGTTTGTCTCCCCCGATGGGCAGGAAAAGTTTTTGAGGATTCTGAAAAACACACCTGTAAAAAACTGCAGTAAAGGTTGTTAAACCACCTCTGGGGACTGAAGGGATTTATCTCTGTGAGAAATGGAGGCTCAGCTCTGTGCCTCGAATGTAATATGTGAGCGACCGAAACTGGAAGGAAATGTTGAAGGGTCTGCTCTTCTTTCTGCTTTAGCCAGGAGTGAACTCTCGAGTTTTATTACTGTTATTTGCTAAATATTGAGTCACATATCATTCTTCCTGAATTTAATTCAAGTTTTTTTTTAACTCTAGGAGTCCTTTTGAGGCAAGAAATGACCTTTTACATCTTTGTCCATGACGTCTTTCCTTTCACAACATAGCATCCTATTATAAGAGAGTTATTTCATAATGAAGATCCCATAAAAAGAAGTCATGAGTTCTGGATTCATTTATATTTAACAACCTGGACTCAAAGTTGTGGATGTGAAACTTTGTTGAGTTCTTAAATTACCTCAAATATTTCCAAAAGTTATCAAAGCCAGAGAAATTCTTAGTTTTATGGTTGTATCCGGATGAGCCACCATGACGGACACGACATGTTTACAGTTGCCATGGAAACACCGGATGTAACGTCAAAGAGCGTTACATAATGAAGCATGAGCTGCTGCTGAAAGCTGCCGTGCTGTTGTTGTATCTGCTGCTGGGATTAAAAACGTCATGTAAATTATATTTGGTTACATCGTCTGTAAACATATTCTCTTCCTCAGGTCGGTTTCACCCGTTCGTCTTTACTACGCTCAGCTCGGAGTTCAGTTTCATTAAGGGTGGCGGGAGAGTAGCAGAGGCGTCACTCCCATGATTCCCCGCCAGCCTCAACTTCATCTTTTGTTATTGTTTTGATTGAGAGCCCCCTGGTGGTGGAGTTTAGATACCGTGCGTTTAACAGGAGGACAAAACATAAAGTTTTTAACACTCCGTCTTGACGTGAACTCGTTCCACTTATCTGTGTCTGACTTGAAATATGCAGCGTATAAATAGTGTTTGTATCACACAATATGTTTTTTTGAAAATGGGTGTTTTTTGCAACCCGCGGTCTCACCTTTATTCCCGTCTGAAAGGTGCCACATCACTCATAAGAAGTGAGAGATTTGTGCTGACAGGAGGATCGTCACCTCTCTGTGCATGTCTGAAAACTCTGAAACACAACAGGTTCAAAATAACGCTGTGGGTTTTTTGGGCTGCTTTTAACCTAAATATGACATGTTTGAACAGGAGCTCTGTGCAGAGAAAAAACAAAGCCTTTCGTCTTTGTGGTTTGTTTTTTTTTGCACTCAAAAGTCACGAAACATTTCCCAGAGCGAGGAGGGCAGAGGAGGACAAAGTGAATAATAAAAAGCACTCTGCCGGTGATGAGTGATGAAGCTGACGTTTTCTTTTTTTTTCTTCACCTCCCCTGCTCCATCTCTCACTCCCTTTGTGTCTCCACCACTTCTTCTCTGTGCTTAAATTTTCCTCCTCCTCTTCCTCCTCGTTTTTCTCTTATGTCTGACCTCCTTTCCTCCTCTTCCTCCCTCAGTGGGTCCCCACATTGGCCGGTACTGCGGCCAGACGTCCCCGGGCCGTGTGATCTCCTACACCGGCATCCTGTCCATGACCATCACCACCGACAACGCCATTGCCAGGGAGGGCTTCTCCGCCAACTACACCATCCGAGAGAGGAGCCTCCCCCCGGGACACGAGGACGAGGGTGAGCAGCTGGATAAGTGATAAGGGGAGAGGGAGGGGGGACATGTCATCTGGCAGTAGAAAGGAGCAAGGTTCATTTCCTGGATGGTTTTTTTGTCACGTGAAAAAAAACACAGAATTAAAAACTGTCCCCTCGACTTTTAACAACCTCTTAAAATATGCAAGCAAACTCCCACACTCGACTTGCAAACATATATTTACTGGCAACACTTCAGCACTTGACCTTCATAGACTCATTCCTCTTGGAGGCATCTGTCTGGTTGAATAGATGCGCAAGGTATTTCTCCACTTTGCACCATAGCAATATATCGGTATCAGATTTTTTCTCTCCTTAATTTCCATATCAGTATCGGCCCTAAAAATCCTGTATCAATTGGGCCCTAGTAGAAATACATTTCCTATAATCAATGAATGACTTGATCTTTAAACCTTTGTCTGTAGTGCTGGGATGTTTCCCTGCAGGATGAAACCAACTGAAGGAACTGTTTTTAGTTTGATTCAGGCCGGCTTCAATTTCAAGTATCAGAATCAAGATCTGAATCTGACGTCAAACCGTATATATGTGTCTTATCTCTTGACTGTAACTTTAAATTAAAAATGTGATCTGCTTCTGATTTAAAAGTGGTTTATATTCATCTCTTTGACCCACTTTTAAGTCTTTATCTCCTCCTTTTGTACGATACATTCGGGTGATTTCACGGATCAGGATTTTACCACAAACGTTTTCTCATGCAGCCCGAGTGTTATTTTAAAAAAAGCTGAGGGACCTCGTTTGAATGCCTGTAGAGATTTAAGTTATGTTGGCCCGTATGGTTTTTGCACTCTTGTAACCTCAACCCCGGTGACCCCTGTATAGGAATGTGAGAGCTGGGTTTACATAAGGTCCCACAGTAGCTCACATGAGCACTTTAAGAGGAGAAATAACACGACGTTCACTTTAGAATCCACTAAATTGATATTTAGAGACATTCAATCAGTTGACTGTGCAGCTTTAAGTGTCCCAAGTGCACACAGTGGTCTGGGAAAGTGTTCTAATCTTTATTTTCCTCATTAAATGGAGACATCTGATTGACTTATGACAACAGCTCAGCCTAAATGATAAGGGAACAGAGTGTTCAGGCAGCTTTATGTATAAACAATGTTATTCACAGTTTTTCCAATGTTGTCTCAGAGGCCACTCAGTAATAATCTGGATCTTCTTATCGTATCCCCCCCCCCAAAAAAAATCAGCACATAGATTTCTATTTGTCTTTGGTTGAAAAAAAAGGGTTCTCAACTGGTCGGTCGGGACCCAAAAGTGGGACGCAAAGCAGTTTCCAGTGGGTCGTGAATATGTGCATGGAAAACAATTTCTGTCAAAGTCTATGAAGCGCTTTTTAAACATGTTTGTTGAATTCTGTGTCTTTGTTCTGTCACATGTATTGCACCGTCTGAGGTCAAAACTGCAAAAAAAATTCTCATTGAAGAAATCTGATTGGTTGAAAAATATCAGACATTTTGGGTCTTGATTCCTCATGGAGGAGTTGGTGGTGGGTCCTGAGAGGGTAGACCAGTTGAGAGCCATTGGTGTAGAAGTTAAAGTTTCCATTTTTTGAGCACTTTAAGACCTTTTTCAGCCATGTTGGCCGACAAAACGATGGTTCCAGTTAAGATCTTCCATCCATCCATTATCTCTTATTACCTCTTTTTCCTGTTAGGGGTCATGAGGGGGCTGGAGCCGATCCAAGCTGTCATTGGGTGAGAGGCGGAGTACACCCAGTCAATCATAGGGCCAGTTAAGATCTTGATTTTAAAAAATCCATTCAATTAAAAAAAGAAGCATCACCAGAGATACAGTTGTTTTCTAATTCATTCAGAACATTTTTCCAGCTTTTTTTTTTACCCTTTCATTTGACAAATAAGCTGTTGGCTAATTTGCATAGTATATTTGATGCCACATCTAAGAATGCAGTGGAGTGAAAAATTTACCTGACTAACACATTTATGTGGACATTTTCTCCCGGACGGGTCAAAGCAATTATCTTCTGTTTTTCTATTGTTTGCTATTGCCACTGGCAGATGATGTGTCTGTTGTATGTCCGCATATATGTGTGTGAGTGTGTGTGTGTGCTCTCTGTTGTCGATGGTTAGTGCTCATGACAAGGTGATAAAACATGAATGTGGTCTACATGTATCAAATGTGTCCGTACTCTACACATGTGTGTGTGTGAGAGATAAATCGGTCCCTCTAGTCTTAACTGGAATGGCTGGGAGCAGCACTGGTGTTAGACAAAGCTCTAATTATGTTAGCTTTAGTAGCACACACACACACACACACACACACACACACACACGTACACACACACAGTCACAATTGCTTTGCCTTCAGACCCCGTCTAAGCTCAGCAGATTGAATTAAAGCCTCTCACCAAACCAAATCTCATTATCTTTTCTCTAAATTTTACAACCACTCTGATGGCTATAAGCCACTAATTCACAGCCAGCGGTACTTGTAGGCTACATTAGCACTTTGCCAGGAGGTATATGGAAAGATTTTAACGGCACAAATAGGATAAAAATAGGATAACCTTCTAGTTAGGAAAAATATCAACAAATGGAGTCTGCTGTAACGTCTGAACACAACTTTCTTTTTCTCACATGATGTAGGAAAAAGTCTATAAGCATAGCTTTAAAGATGGTGTAAAGTGTGAATACAGATGGTTCAAATAGGCTAGTTAAACTAATTTAATAGTCACATTTCCCTATAGATTTCTCAAATGAAAACATTGGCTTGAAATAGTTTGCCAAATACATTTAAATTCAGTTGTTAGCGGGAAACTGTTGTTAGCTTAAATCTGCGGATAAACATTATGATACAGTATGTAACTTGTAATATAAACAGTAAGGTTAGGAACATAGATGACAAACCATTGAAAGTTTTAAATTAAAGTAATGGATAGGCCCTACTGTGGAAGTGGGAAGCTAAGAGTGATGCTAATGGTTATTAACAGCTTAGATAATTAGCCGGTTTACATTGCTAGCTAAGAAACCGCTGAACCGTTTGAATAGTTATCTCTAAGTGGAGTAAGAGATCTTATTTAGTCTGTGGTTGTGGATAAAAAGTTGAATTAATCAGCGTAAATAGGGAACAAATGGTCGGACTATGATGCTAGCTAAATAAATGCTAAACAGTTTAAATAGTTAGCTAATGTTAGCGATGCATTGTTGACATAATTAGCTAGCTTAATGAACGCTATAAAGCAATAGTTTCATTCACAAAAGTAATGGATAAACGATTTGCAAAGCTAGCTAAAAGTTCATCACAGGCATTTTGAATCCATTTACATTTTGGACCTGATGGGTGATGAAGGGACTCATATTCAACATGTCTCAGGGGTTGGGAACCACTTCTCTAAACAACCTTCAAGCAATCTTCCCGCAGCGTCTTTACAGCCTCTGAGGAATCAAACTTTCTTCTTGCTGCAGTGAATTTACAGTTTTGTCTCTTTGTCCCAGTCATCCCCACTAGAAATAGCCTCCAGCTGAGCCGTTGATCATCTGAGTGATCGGCGGGGGCGTCAGTTTACATCCTTTTCTTTTAGTTTGTGAAAGGAGAGGTACAGTGACGGGGTTGAAGTTTGTCCTTCATGCCCGCTGTGAGGGAGACCCGGAGGTTGTCTCATGAATAAAAATGAGAAAAGCTTATCCACTGTAGGCTTAGGGAACAGAAATGCAAGATAATATATTGGTGTAGCAACAGGATGGTGTTTAATGTTTACCTTACTGGAAAGATAAAGTTTAAAAAATCTCTGAAAACGAAGATGTGGGTCCAGATTTCGTCAAGGAAACAACATCGATGACGAACGCCATAAATCGAGTCGCCGCAGTCATTCGGCGATGTTGCAAGCAAACTTTCTCCCACTAATTTATTTGTGGAACTCTGAATGATGTAAGTGTGTTTGTGTCAGTCTGGCAGACCTTGTGTCTCCAGACAGCCCTCCCACACGCACACAAACACTCAAGTTTCCTTTAGTCCCCCCCACTCCCTCTTCCTTCCCCGTGCTCCCCTGCTGTTACAGAATGGACACCGCCGCCTCAGAGATGCAGACGGGTATTTAGAATTTGCTCAAAAGCTGTTTTGATACAGGTTTCCTGAGCCCAGCAGAGTGTGGATAGACTTTCCTCAGAGGAGAGCCTTATTTATCAGTTAGAGTGAAAAGTAAATATTAAACAAATGTTCAATATTTATGATTGGATATCCAGTGTGCAAATATGGATGGATATTTGAGTTTGCCTACTTTGCATTTAACGTCTGAAAGACAGAACCTGCTAACTTAGGGTCTGAGCCAAGCCGTGATGTTATTCCATAGATTTTAAAGACATTATTTCTTGCATTAGCAAAAACTACTCAAGGCATTTTTGTATTTTTGCATTTTTGTATATTTGGTATGTCCAAATCTAAATACAAAGGAGTTTGACAATAACATAAATTTACTTTCTTTAGCCCTTTTCAGAATTTTTTTTTTTTTTTTTTTTTGCAAAAGTGCCATCACTAAGCTCAGCCGTCATCACGTCTTTGGACGTTCATGTTGTTTCCTCAACAGTATAAAAGCGGTGTCCAGGTATTTGAATTCACATTGCGGAAACACGGCACAGCGGGGGGCTCCACATACACAAACAGTCAAACATGCACACACACAGCGCTGTGCTCCCTCCCTGGCTCAACTAAAACCATCTCGCCTCTGATACTACCTCTGAAGACAGTACAGAGGGGGATCATTTCGCCCCCCCCAATAGGCCTCCCTAAAATTCAGATTGTAGGCTAAAACGTGAAAGGGGCATAAATATCCCCGTCTGAAATGAGCTATTGACTCTTTACAATAACACAGAGTGTTGATCATATTATCAGCAAACTAAGACCTTCACTGAAACTCAACTGAATGTTGTTTTTGAAATTTAAATGAGCTCTGGTGATAAATTTGGCGTTTTTCAGCCGTAAATGTCTGCACGCGGATTTAGTGTGTAAATGTATGAATACTGTACAAAGGCCAGTGTCACCAAACAGCCTCTGAAGTGTCGCCACGGGAGCCGTTTGAAACGACTCCCTGCGCTTCTGTGACTGAGAGAACCAGCAGGGTGACAGGGACGGACACTTCACAGTGTCTGAGTGATACTTTACCCACAATGCTCACTTGTTTCCCTGCATGACTCACAGACCAAAAAATTGGCTTTTTCTCCTCCAACACAGACTTGTGACTTTAACTTGGAGTCCCCTTCAGAACACAAAGCGCGGAGGTCGATGATGAATTCAGCCATTAGTGGCGACAACCCGATGAGCAAAACACCAAAATCCAGTTCATTCAGCTAATGATGTGTGTAATAAACCTGTCCTGTTTGTAATAAAGGAACATTTACAATCATTTTGAATACAAACATTTCTCTTTTGACCTGACTATTAATGTGTATAGGAATGATGCTGCTTTTAATTTAAAAGCAATAACTCATAAATGACCTTTTTGTTTGGAGTTTCAAACTTTATTGCCATCCTTTTAAGGACATAAAACAGGAGATTTAAGTTGAAGAACTAGTTAAGTTTCTTACTTCTTACTACTATTCGCTGCATAGAATCGAGATCCCATCAGTGCTGATATTCAGTGTAACATCACTGCCTCTCCTGTGATGAATAAATGATCACTTAAATCCACATCCTTGACCAAAGCGCCTGCTGTCCTATGGCTGATGCCGCCTCTGCAACTTCTACTAATGGAGTTTTTCTGTCTTTTGCAGAATTCGCTTGTCTGGAGCCGCTGGGAATGGAGTCAGGAGAAATTTCCTCCGAGCGGATCACGGCCTCCTCCCAGTACAACTCCAACTGGTCCCCCGAACGATCACGTCTCAACTACCAGGAGAACGGCTGGACGCCCTCCGACGACACCGTCAGGGAGTGGATACAGGTCAGAAATGTTTGCTCTCATTAGAAATCCAGTAGTGAATCCTTGAGGTGAAACTCGATTAGAAAAACTGAAAATTGTGTCACATTGCTCCTCATTTCTGAGTCTGAGCTCATAACGCATGTATGCTTACTGTGTTCCTCTCGTTGAACCCGACTGCACCGCCGAGATCTCGCTCACATCTGGTCTGAATATTGTTCACTCATTTGTACCACTTCTCTGCACGTATAAGGGACCCAAAAAGCAAGAAAGAAAAAATAAGCCAACATGCATTATTTATTGAAATCTGCCTCTCAAGCGCAGTTAACATTTCCTTTATTCACTGTGAAATCTAACGTAGCAGCCTGCAATCACTGAATGTGGAAATAAATCAGCCCTGTGGTGGATTTCTTTAAACATATTCAACATTTTCATTTGCTTCTTAATGATTTCAGTTTGTTAGACTCACTCCTGTTCAGGTTTAAGATGTCATAAAAGTTGGAGGACGCAAAACAACTCTTTTATCAAGCGTGTTATATTCAGTGTATTTGCACTCTTCTAATGTCCTGTGATTATTCAGGCAGTAATACAATTCTCAGTGCGGAAAATGTGACTTTCAGTATCTCACGTAATATCTGTGGTTAAATAACCTACAATGTAGAATACAGTTCCAGACCTGCAATACTTAGACTACATTCAGTATACACCTATGTGACTGTGTTTGGGCATTTTGGCTTTTCTTCTCTCAGCAACATTTATAAACTGACTACAATATATTAAAGTTTGTATATCAGTGGACTTTTTTTGGGAAAGTTAAGCAATACATTGTTTTGTAAAAATAGCACTAACGTAGCCTTTAAAGGAGCAGTATGTAACTCTGACACCTAGTGTTTAAAATGGGTACTGCAGTCCTTCCCCCGCCCCCCTCCTCCTTAGAGTCAATGTGCACGCAGGATTGCTGTGTTGTGGACACTGTAGCTTCAGTGTTTATCCAGCTCTGCATGGGTCTGTAAACCTTTCTGTGTTCTAACCTCTCTCCATTTTTCAAAAGCATCTCCAATATTGATCCTAGTTTGAGCACGTTTCTGCTCATGGAGCTTATTAGAAACATGCAGAGGCTTTTTAGGGCGGGTACAATCACTTCTATCTGAACCACTTCTCTTGACCTGCTTCCATTGCTGCAAACACCTGCTGGTTTGCCGTTTGCCTGGTAAACTGAGAGGCGAGGGGCAAAACGGCCGTGTCAGGTTGCCGCCTACTTCTCTGGTCAAAACAAAAACAAACCATTCCACACCGGAAATGAAACTTAGAAGGAGGACATACTGACTGCTGCATTCAGAGAAGCCAGCCCTTCAACATAGCATGTTTCTTTAATGTCTGATGATACAGTAATTTCATTTTATAAATTACAGCTAGCTTGTAGCGTTCCAACAGAGCTAGTCTCAGGCTTCGTAGCTGCTAGCTGACTGACTTTCCAGAAGTCAAAGTCACTGGAACAAGAGAAATGTTTTCTTCCTCCTAATGCCAAATTATCCAACATAACAGGATGGCAATGTACCAAAACTTCAGGTCCTTTTAAATCCTTATTCACTTATAGTTAGGCTTTGTTAACTACGAGCACATTGCCTTTGTAAATACTGTTTGGATCAGTGAAGGCTAACCTACAGTTGAGATCGCTCTCTCTCAGATCAGTCTGTAAGGTGCGACTTGACTGTCCCATTGTCCAGGACAGGAACTCATAGAGGAAAAACTCACAATGCCCCCACGCACTAAGAACAGACCCCCACTTCCTTCCTGTGGAGGTTACAACAGGAAGTACACAGGAAGACGACCCCTGTGCCAAATTAGTAGCAGCGGCTCTCTATTGTCTGTCTGGGGACGCTTTTTAGCTACCGGACTACAGCTGAGCCCACTGGGAAGAAATAATATGAAAGTAGAGGTCAACAGGTTGATGAAGGAAGCTGAGGTTGTATTTTCCAGTCGTTACGCTTCAATGTCGTCAATGTAAAAGTGATGTTTTGTAAAGGATTTCTTTTAGCATTGCCAGGCTCTACAAGAATGTAACCCTGAGACTTTCGTAATCTTCTTTTTATTGTTTTGGAAATAATTAAGCAGTAATTAAGGGCGTTTCCCACCTAACCCTGGTGCAGACCAAACAACTGAACCTGCAGGAAGCAACCACCATGAGCCCTTTCTATTCACCATGGCATGGTGTTAGGTGTGTAAGGCATACCTGATAGATCCTTCAATAATCCCGGGTTGAACACAGAACAAACTTGAGCAACAATGCAACAAATTGGTCCACTATTCAGTCCAGCAAACAAACTATAGGTGTGAAATCGCCCTTCATTGCTTTGAAATAAATGCTGATGTAGTTAGGTCTAAGTTTTAATGTTTTAAGGCCTGAAATAAAACCTAGAAGTCTAGACTTTCTGTACACCTTTAATTGGAGTACAGTGTTTACATGCCCAGTTCTCACAATATGAACCTGGTAGTGTGTGGATCTCCTTATTGAGCTGTAGTGCTCCAGTGTTTCCCTTAAAAACACACTGACAGTAGATATTGTAGGACACACTCCCTGTTCAGAACCGGTCATGAGATCTGCAGCAGTAGATCTTCAACCGCCTAAGGCCTGAAAGTAGCTAGCTGGTTTGTTTTGTGAGGACAGATTTGTTTGGTTCAATCGAAGCTTTGTTGTCCGACCCTCCTGAAGAAACATCAGCCCAGTGTTTTATATCATCAGAATCAGAAGCTCAGATTATGTGAGGCATCTTGAGTTATGACTGGTTGTTTTCTGTGAACATGTTATTTGATTAAGTGCGGTGCGCACGTGGCCCGCTCTGCAACGCCTGGTATGCCTTACGGCCCGCCATTCATCTTACTTGAGAAGACAATTATGACTTAGTTAATTCTTGCACGCCGGCCTTCTCCATTGTGAAAACATCTATTATTCATTTGAAGGCATTCATATTAATACCACATACCATATTAATACTGTTGCCAGGTTGCTATTTATGATGTTGTCAGGGAGATGTTACCCCGGTGGCGATTTACACCGCGGCACTGTGAACTCATTATCTCTCTTTATGATAAATCTGTCATCTTTTTATTTTGCACAGTAGTGACCCACTTTATCAGCAGGCTGGGTTTTTGCAACCTAATGGAAAAACTCCATATCTATAATCCACATTTGTTTTGTCAAATTCTGGAAAGAAAGTGTAACTATCTGAAATTAAGGGGCGCCAGTAGCCAGTAGTAGTGCGCACGCTTAACTGCTGCTCAGTAATCACTTATCGGCCTCCATACATGTGGTGACTGTGTCTGCAGAGACTCAGTCCTCTGCCTGGATTTTCATGTTTTGGTTTGTATTGGTTGACACTAGATGTTTCTGGGTGGGGAGCTGGTGTGTTTCCCACAGCCAATAACAGCGTGCAGGTGAGTTTAGGAGTGGATCATCTATTGGATACGATTAAACCAAAAATGTGATCATTTTGGGGCAAAACGCTGAGTAGAAGGTCGTTCCAAAACGAGGGTGAACCTTGTGTTGGTTTCCACCCGACGACCCAGAGTTGGCCTGCTTTCTGCTGGACAGGCAGGTAACAAACACCAACGGCTAGCTTGTGTTAGTGTGTGGTAGCCTGCAGTGTAGATACAAGCAATAAACGCAGACATTACACCCTGTACTGAGTGTTCACTTCTGATAGCAATGAGTCCAGGAGGAACATTTTTTTCATCTATATTTTTTAGAGCAGTTCAAACTAAAACTGGTGCAAAAATTGAGCTTTTAAATCATTCCGACTGTATCTCAAACATGCCAAAGAAAAAACACTGACTTTAAAAATGTTAAAAATCTAAAGAAATACTTTCAAATGTGGCTCAGTAAACCCGTTTTTTTATTTAGGTTTTAATGGATTATAGATCAATCCATACTTCTTTGGAGAAGGGGATAAAAGAAGTAGAGATGCTTCACAACTTGAGCATCTCAAAGAAAAGTATGTAGGAATTCAAAGTTCAAAGCAATCTGACTCAAGTAAACACAAGTAAAAATGCTGACTTTAAAAATGCTCAAAATCTGATCAGATGCAAAGAGCATTATTCAAAATGTGTTTAGAAAAGCCCAAACTTAGTCGATCTTTAGAAGTAGGAGCTTGCACCAAACATGAGCTTTTAATGAAAGTTAAAGGAAACATTAGAGACTAACATGAGAAAAAGGAATTTTAAAGAAGTGATGTCTTAATTATTCAACAAACTGAGCAGCGTTAACAAATGAAGAACAATCCATCAGAGACGTACACATTTAGTTTTCTACCCTTAAAAATCAAAATCAAAATCTGATCAGGTAGATAAGAATAGATATGTGTTGGTGCATCCTTACAGGTTGTAGTAAATTGTCTTGTTATTGAATCCCATGATGTAAGCCCAGGAAAGGCTTCCTTCCCCTCATGACTTAAAGGTATTTATATACCACAGCGCCGTTTGTCTTGAGGATCTGTTTGACGCCACCAGGAAGAGCTCAGCGGCGAGCATCTGGAGAACACATTTAGGGGCCTTGTGTTGTTGAAGCTGCGGGCCGGGAGGGAAACCCAAAAGACAAAAGATCCTCCAGAGAGCGTTAAATGGTCTCAATATCCAGAGCAGACCTCTGGGGGAAACAGTTGACTCCCAAACCCCCGGAAATGTCAATAACCCAGAGAAAACTCAACACAGATCAGACCTTTAAAAAAAAGATGGAGATCAATGTGTGAGGAAATGTCTGAGTTTTCTTTGGTTTTCCAATTTCAATGAAAGAAGTGTTTTTGTGTCGTTTTAATCGTGAATCTAATTTCTTATGCAATGAGCAGAGAGACAAAAAGTGATTAAATCAGAGTTATGTCATTCTTCAAAGTGAAAAAAGCCCGAAAACAAAGTAGATGTAATTAGTCTGAAACCTCGAGGCTATACTAAAAAGAAAGAATGAGGAATAAAACCCCGTCTTCTTTCATCAATACCAACGAGTCATTTCACAGTAATGAGGTTTTATCTTC